TTTTGTGTACTTTCGGCAGCTGTGTTTTCCGCTATGTTGGCGGTTGCCGACTTTGAATTTCTGTAACTCTAAAATTGAATATTTTCTCAGCGTTTCTGCTGATGTCTTCTCTCAGCCCTGTTTAATTGATTAGCTTTGTCTTTTAACTGCTTTGTCTTTTTGAATTTCTTCAAAATTTTGCTAAGTACGAAGCTTCGGCTCACAAATCATCTGGCTGATAATGTTTACCCCTTGCATGCTTCTTCTGCCTTGCTCGTTTTACTCGGATGTTTTACGGAAATTTTTCCAAGTGTGAGCTTCGGCTGGGAGCTACTACCTCTTGCCCTCCCAGAACTTTGAAGATAAAGTCTTCAGAGTTATGAGATATTGCTTTCACTCTTCCAGCGTAGCTGAACGATTGAGCTTAGCAACATTTTTGACACTTACTAGTTTGAACATTCATGTTTGTTTCTTATATTCTGCTTGGTTTCAATTCATCCGAGGGAATGACTATCTTGGACACAGTGCTGGGGCGATGATCATCCTTAGTACAAGGCATCATTATGCAATACTTCGAGGTGTAACCATCACCCGGAATTGACTTGCCGAAGCACAGGGCATCATTATGCAATGCTTCGAGCCTTTTATCAATTCCTATTTTTGGCTATGTCTTAGATAGGCCTATGACCTCTTTGCCGGGAGTGCAACAAATCCGTCCGAGGTACAGTGCATCACTATGCAATACCTTGAGGTTCTATTTGTTGCCCCCATATCGGCAGGTTCTTCGGCTTGCCGAAGTACAGTGCATCACTATGCAATACTTCGGACAGCACCGGGTGTAAACCTTGAATTTTTCAAAAAATGACGAAGACAGAAATAATGAAGACATAATGAAACTGTGACTAATTGCGGCTCAAAGGCCTTTCATTGATTTGAAGAAGACGTACTTACATATATTTTTCTCCCGCATTGGGATTTTACACATGAAATTTCCTAAGTACATCTGCTTTCCAGTGGTTTTTCAATTCGGTTCCATCTAACTGCCGAAGCCGATAAGTTCCTAGCTGGAGCTCATCGTATATCTCATAAGGCCCTTCCCAGTTGGCCGAGAGTTTTCCATGGATGCGACTTTTCTGGACAGCGGCGACATTCCGAAGAACAAGGTCCCCAACTTTAAGGAGCCTTGCCTGGACTCTTCGGTTATAGAACTTGCTGACTCTTTGTTTGTATGCTGCCATTCTGTCTCTTGCCGAATCTCAGATCTCGTCTAAGAAATCAAGGGATTCTTTCATGAGATGTTCATTTTCTTCGGCTGAGAATTGATTGACTCGAAGACTCTCTGAGCCAATTTCCATTGGTAAAATAGCTTCGGATCCATACACCAATTCAAAAGGTAACTGTCCCGTAGCCTCTTTTTCAGTTGTCCGAAGCGATCATAAAGTTCCTGGGAGTTCCTCTATCCACTTGGACTTTTGGTCCTCAACTCTCTTTTTGAGAGCATTGAGTATTTGTTTATTTGCAGCTTCGGCTTGGCCATTACTCTGAGGATGGCAGACTGCCGAATATGCCAATTTTATTCCGAACTGATCAGTGTACCGCTTCAGCGGCAGATTGTCGAATTGTCTCCCATGATCAAAGACAAACACCTTCGGGATGCCGAAGCGAGTAATGATGTTCTGCCAGATAAACTTTCTGACAGTTTGCTCAGTTATGTTTGAAGCTGCTTCGGCTTCCATCCATTTGCTGAAGTAGTCAATCCCGACTATCAGCCACTTTTTCTGGTAAGGAGCCTCGGGAAATGGTCCCAAAATATCCAATCCACATTGAGCAAAAAGGAGTGGATTCAGAATCAGCTGAAGGTCTCTCGACGGCCGATGAATAACTGGTGCGAATTTCTGACATTTTTCACATTTCCGCACCAGGTCCTTGGCATCTTGGATCATGGTTGGCCAGTAATACCCTGCCCGCAGTGCTTTATGGGCCAGGGCCCTTCCCCCTATGTGATTTCCGCAGATGCTGAAGTGGATTTCCCGAAGGATATAATCCGCATCTGTTGGGCCCACATATTTAAGCAGTGGGGCTGAGAAGGATTTTTTCAGCAATTCCCCATTGTAGACAATGAACCTTGAGCCGACTCTTTTCATTTTTGCAGCTAGGTTTTTGTCCTCGGGGAGGGTTCCCTGAAGCTTATAAGCCAGGATGGGATCCATCCAGCTCGGTTCAGCTACGACGCATTGGACCTCAATTTCTTGGTCAATGCTTCTGTTTCGGCACACTTCCACATATACAGATCGGTTCAGCTCGGTAAGAGTTGAGCTTGCAAGTTTGGAAAGTGCGTCGGCTTGAGCATTCTGACCCCTTGGGGTCAGCTCAATTTCAAAAGTTCTCAGCTTCGCTATGACTAACTTGATCTTGGCGAGGTAAGAGATCATTGAGGGCTCTTTTGCCTCATATTCGCCCCGCATCTGATTAGCAACCAGCTGAGGGTCTGTTTTTTAAACAGACATGCTCGGCTTCGAGAGCTATGCACAGTTCTAAGCTAGCGATTTCTGCTTCATATTCTGCTTCGTTGTTAGAAGCCTTGAACGAAAATTTGAGTGCATACTCGAAGTTTTTGCCTTCGGGAGAGGTAATCACTACCCTTGCTCCCGAACCATTTACGGTGGCCGAGCCATCCGTGAATACGGTCAAAGTCCCCTTCCCTTCGTTGAGTGTCTCCTGATAGGAACACTCGGCCAGGAAATCTTCTAAGGCTTGGGCCTTAATGGCTGCCCTCGGCTGATAGCTTATGCTGAACTTTGTGAGCTCGAAGACCCACTTTGTTAGTCTGCCTGACTTTTCAACCTTGCCGAGGACTTTTTCCAGCGGTTGATCCGTTAAGACCACTATCTGATGTGAGTCAAAATAAGGCCTTAACTTTCGAGCCTCTACTACCACTGCATATGCAACTTTTTCGAGCAATGGGTAGCGCGTTTCGGCATCGGTCAAAGTATGACTGACGAAGTAGATCGGTTGCTGAACCTTTTCTTCTTCTTTCAGCAGAACCGCACTCACTGTGGCAGGGCTAACTGCCACGTATAAGTACAAGACTTCCCCTTCGGCTGGTCTTGCTAGCGTTGGGAGATTAGCCAGGTGCTCTCGGAGCTGCTAGAAGGCTATCTTTTGCTCTTCTTCCCATACGAGCTCCTTAGACTTTGGCAGTTTCAGCGCTTTGAAAAAGGGTAGCCCTTTGTCCGAGGCTTTTGAGATGAACCTGGAAAGGGCAGCCATCCTCCCAGTGAGACGCTGAACGTCCCTCTTTGTTTTTGGCTCGGGAAGGTCAAGGGCTGCTTGAACTTCGGCGGGATTGGCATCAATCCCCCTTTTGCTGACCATGAAGCCGAGGAATTTCCCTGACTTCACACCGAAGACACACTTCTTCGGATTCAGCTTCATTTGATTCTTTCTCAGGGTGGTGAACATTTCGGCTAGGTCAGCCACATGGTTTTTCGCCTCTTTGCTCTTGACGATGGAATCATCAACATAGACTTCCATGTTGCGGCCTTTTTGTTCGGCGAACACTTGGTCCACCAGCCTTTGATATGTCGCTCCGGCATTTTTCAGGCCGAAGGGCATCATTTTATAGTTGTACACCCCAACACTTGTAACGAATGCCGTTTTTGCTCTGTCATCGGGGTGCATGAAAATCTGATGGTACCTAGAAAATGCGTCCATGAAATTAAGCAGAGCATGGCCACTCGTCGAGTCGACTAGCTGATCGATTCTCGGCAAGGGATAAAAGTCCTTCGGACAAGCCCTATTTAGGTCCGTGAAGTCAATGCACATTCTCCAGGTGTCATTAGCCTTCTGAACCATCACCACATTCGCCATCCATTCAGGATATTGGCAAGGCTCGATGAACCCCGCGTCCAGAAGTTTTTTGACTTCGGCTGTGATGTCTTGGTTCTTTGGAGCGGAGTAATTCCGCTTCTTTTGCTTAACTGGCCAACATGTGGGGTCGACATTAAGCTTATGAGAGATAAGGTTCGGATCAATTCCCGGCATGTCCGCTGCTGAGAATGCGAACACATCTCGGTTGTCCCGAAGGAGTTGGATCAATTCAACCCGGAGGCTCGGATCGAGCCCTTGTCCAATGCTGACACATTTTTCAGTATCTCCTTCGGTCAACGGTATTGACTCAGTTTGTTTATCTGACTCCATTGCTTTGGAGCCAGGCTCTTCTGGTTCGGGTCGGCTGTCAATATCAGCAGACCTCCCTTTTTTCGGCTAATCTTCGTCTGAATCTTTCGGTCCAACCGAAGAACTTGCCTTTCCAGTTCCCAAAGATGTTCTTTTTCTTGGGGACCCCTGAGCCGAAGCACTTAGGCCCTTCGGCCTTTTGGTACCTCGCTCTTTCTCTTTTTCTTCCTCATCATCCTTGTCACTGCGGCGACTCTTGGATGGCTTGAGGAAATTGAATTCTCGGGCCTCTCTTTGGCTGCCCAAGATTTTTTCGGAGCGTCCTTCGTCTGAAACGTAGATCATTGCTTGATGATATGTCGAGACGACTCCTTGAACGTCATGGATGAGGGGTCTCCCCATAATGACGTTGTATACTGACGGGGCATTGATGACCAAGAATTCGGCCATGATGCTTCGTCTTGCTCGGTCTTGGCCGAGGCTGACGGGAAGAAGAATTTTCTCGTCTGGATATGAAGAAGAGCCGTTGAATCCAGTGACCGGGTAGGGAACTAGAGTTAAGTGCTTGCTCTCCAACTTCAGCTGGTCGAATGCCTTTCGGAAAAATATATTCGCCCCGCTGCCACCATCTACCAGTGTCCGATAGACGTTGTGGTTTGCAATGCTCGTCATGATAACCAATGGGTCATCATGGGGTTATACCACCCCCCTGCAGTCTTCGGATGTGAACATCATGTTCGGCACCAGAGGTTGTGGCTTTCAGAACTCGGCATGATGAATCTGATGGGTCAGCCCCCTCAGATGGCGCTTCAATGCATTCCGAGAAATACCCCCGAAAATGGTTAATATGTCATGGTTTCCTCCCTCGGGAGGTTTATCACTTTTCCGGTGGTAATCCAGATCCTGCGAGAGTCTCTCTCAGTTTTCTTTTCTTCGCGGCGTTCCGCGACATATTTCTTTAAGTACCCTTTCTGGACCAGTTCTTCAATCTGGTCCTTCAGCTGGAGACAATCCTCGGTGCGATTTCCACGTGATTTATGGAACTCGCACCAATGATCTTTCCCCTTCTTCTGATGCCAAGAAGGAGGTGGCTTTGGTTTCTTGAATCTTCCTTCCTCCCTCGTCGCACTAAAAATCTTAGTACGTGGTAAGGTGAGAGGGGTGTAAGATTCAAAATTTCCCAGATAGGGAGCCTTATCCTTCTTCGGCTCTTTGGTCGAGGGAGGTTCTGAGGCTTTTGCCTTCCCTTTCCTCGACCCTGGAACTTCGACTGGCTGCCTTTTTGGTTTGGCAAGCGCTGATTGAGATTGCAGCTTGGCCTTGTTCCATTCCTCGGCTCGGATGAATTTATCCAAAGCACCGAGGGCTTCTTCCAAGGTCTGCGGAGGATGCATGACCATGAAATCCAGAAATTTTCCAGCTTGCAAGCCATTCCGTAGTGCGAATACGGCTAGGCTTTGGTCCAGACTTGTGATTCTGGATGACTCGTTGCTGAAGCGAGTCAAATAATCTCGGAGACTTTCGTCTTCCGCTTGCTGCAGGCCCATGAGCTCGGCAGTGGTTTTCTCTCGGCGGTTAGCCGTGGAAAACTTTCTCTTGAACTTGTTGGCGAGATCGCTCCAACCCGTTATAGAGCCTTCCTTCAGCCCTTTGGTGATCCATGATTGGGCGACACCTTTAAGGGTTGTAGGGAAGTATTTGCACCAGGTAGCTTCGGACCTGGGGTTAAGGTACATATGCCCCTTGTAAGAGGCTATGTGGTCCTTCGGATCCGAAGTACCATCGTAAGTGATTTGTGCCGGAATTTTAACTGTCGGCACATGTTCCTCCAGTATCCATTTCTAGAAGGGGAACTGGTAGGGATCATCACAGCTTTTCCCTTCTGCCTTTCCGAAGGAACTTCACTTCTCCCTCTTAGAGAGGTGGAAGTGAGGGGTGTCCCTCCACGTGACAGTTCTGGGCGAGAGCCTTCGGGATAGGTGAGACGACTGTGAATGTCCCTCTCCCTTTCCCCTAGGCGCTTGTAAACGCTTCGGCGAGAAGCGTTGTGGCTGCTTGGATTTTCCTTAGAGTTTCGGACTTGGGAATTCTCAAAGTGACCGGAGTCCCCTCGCCGTTCCCGTCCTGTCTTGCCCAGGCTTTCGGCTCTTCCGCTTCCCTCTCTCTTGGAGAGTGGAATCCGCCCTTCCCCTCCCAACGTCAGTTTCCTCTTCCGGCTTTCTGACTTCGGCGGGGGTGAAGGAGGAGTGGTATGCACGGATGGGAGGCGTCCACCCAGGGCTTTCATGAACTCCATGCAGACAGCCACTGCCCTCGCCACCTCTTCAGTCGAAGGACTCTGCTTATGAGCCTCGCTCTCCCTCGGCGAGTTCCTAGCTTGGTGATCCCGTCGGGAGGGAGATCCCTCACGCAGATTTTCTCCTCTCGGAGAGTTAGAAGCAGACGGTGAAGGTGTCCTATCGGTCCCCACCGTTATTATGCCCAACTTTCTCGCTTTTTTGGAACTTTTGGCACTCTTAGTCAGTTTTTGCGTTGGCTAAGATTGGTATGAGAATTTTGGCTGAATTTTTGTAAGAGTCCCCATAGACGGCGCCAAATTGTTTCGGTCAGAAAACAATGGACCTTCGGCAGGTCCTTCTGATGAGTGGAGATGAAGCCCAATTCGAGTGATGACCGAATTGAGGATTTCCTGCACAGTTGAACAAACGTAAACTGGCCTCGGGGGTTGTGCCGAGGAAGGCCCCTCTGATGCCGAAGTCAGTACGAGTGTAAGAACAAGAGAGAGTAGCTATGCAAGAGAGTTTGTTGCTTGAGACAATATTAGTGAATGAATGTGATTATGCAAGGATGTGAGCTTTTATACCTTGTCCCAATTGAGTGGAATGGGCTTGATGAATCAAATGGGCTGCCATTTGAGTGGGCCTTGTTTTACCTGACTTGGCTTTAGAGAATGAGGGTTGAACCTTGCCTATTGGGCTTTATTTATTTTCATTTGTGGACTGGGCCCAAATACAAGTTATTTGGACCCCAAACATGTATTATATTAATTCCTCTTAAAAGCTATAAATCTTTGAGATTATTTCTTGGTAAAATTAAAATTCAAGTACTATAACAAGAGGTCTTGGATTTCAATATTGGATTAGATAATTCGATTCAAATATAACCAGACACGTACCTATCCATTTTCCAAGTCACTATGATACTTTAACAAATTACAAGTCATTCATGCATACATATAGCTAATTAAGTTGTCCCATCTTTATTGTATCAATGTATCACTGAGTACAACATTATAATATACGTAGCAAATCATTAGGTGAGTAATATCTACATTCTTTAGACACAAAAATGCATTGAACATCAACTTTATTGATATTATCAACAAAAAAAAAATTATTTTAAATTACCAAGCAAAAAAACAAAAAATTTAGTTTCAACACTAAATTCGTAAAATCTGACGTTTTAAAAAAATTTCTTCGACTTTCGTATCAAAAATGCGCTATTTAGAGATTTTGGGGGTCATTTTTGGCCTTTGAATCTGATTTGAGCTTAAACTTTGCAAAAAATTAAATTATCAAAAATGCCTCATATTGCATGTATCACGCAAATCGAGGTATTTTTAGTACGCAAAACGAGGCATTTTCAATTTTTTTTTTTTTAGATTTTGACCTCAAATCGGATCCAAAGGACAATAGTGGCCCCTAAAACATCTAAAAAGCATGTTTTTGGCACAAAAATCGAAGAAATTTTTTTAAAACGTTAGATTTAACGTTTTTTAACCGAAAGTGTTAAATGGTGGTGAAATCTAAATTTTTTGTCTTTTTTGGATGGTAATTTAAAATAAACTTTTTTTTTGTGTGTAGTAATATCAATAAGTGGGTTATTTGTGGGTAGTAAAATACAAAAATTCCACTTTATTATCCTTTTCTAATGTTTCTTAGTTTTCTTTAAGTTCAATTTCAAAATCAAATATATGCACCAAACATCATCTCATTCATAATTCAAATGTATTCCATAAATCCAAAATAAGGAACAACATTCTTACTTAAGTTTCATGCATATTTCATTGGACGTACACATTTCAAAAAGAAGCTTTGGAAAGTGACAATTGCTTAATAAATTCTACAAGAACAAGAACAGAATTAGTTGCAGCAACCGGTAAGAAAGTATCAGCCTCATTAGACTCAGCAGAACCACCACCGGCTAAATCGGAGAGAGCGCGAATGGTGATGTGGGGAACCCTTTGCTGGTGGCACACGAGTGCTACACCGGCGCTTTCCATCTCGACCGGGCTTAGCTTGAAATTGTCAAAGAGAAAGCTTCTATAGGCTGCATTGTCTACGTAAATACTTGCACTTGCTCCTCTTAATACTGTGGTCACTTTGGGTGTTGTATCTAAGCATGTGGTTGCATTCACACATTTCTCCAATTCTAAAGTCTGAAAATATAATATTTTATTAAATTGAATTTTCAACATTAGAATTATAATACAAATATTTTTATTTTATTTTTTAAGTTGAAAATCGAGGTTTGCATATGTATAAGTTGAAGGACTTTTCAAATAATTTAGTATGCCCTTCTTAAAGATCTTTCGATTTAATCGATTTAACTTTTATATGGTATCTAATTCACATATTGACCATTAATATCTTTCATTTTGTATTATTAAGAACTTTGCGCGTGGAATTTTATTTTGTATTATTAAGAACTTTACGCGTGGAATTTTATTAGATTTGACTCGATAGTAATTTTGAATTTTAACTTATACCATATAATAAGTACCAATTATACATAATTGAAGAGTATTATAACTTTCAGAATACAATCAATGTTTTCTTATTTAATTTTGAAATCATGAATTAAAGGATGGAGCCAGGTGGAGTTATTAACATTAACAAGAAATAAGCTATTATTAGTTGGTAAAAAAAGTGACCTAATTGATGTACTATTATGAATAAATAATCATTTTATATAATTTTTAACCTTCAGCGTGAATTTGATGAATAATTAATTTATTAAGGATATAGCTAAGCTAGGTCATGATCTTTGATCATGTTAGTAATTTAGAGTGTATAAATGGGGAGAGCCCTATCCCAGTTAGGGAGACGCCGCGGCTGGGAAACAGGGGAAACAAAGCCTCGAAAAGACGCGCCCGCGGCCTTATGTGTCGTGCCCTCGGGTGACTGGGGAAAGCCCTCTCCAAGGGCACGGCCAGCATTCTACAGGTTTCAAAGGATGAGCTCCAAATCATCATGTCCGCGCCCGCGTCGATTCAGTTTTGCGGTTTTTCGTTCTTTTTATTGTGAAATTGAAAAAGAAGAGATACAGATTTTTCAGTTTACTCTCCTCTCCAATTTTCTCTATTCTCTCCACATTTTTTCATTGAAGAATCTTGCAAACTCTTCATTGAAAACTCTATTAATCTAGCCAAATATTTGAGAATTTATCCTCTAATTTCGTCTCTAAGTGCTAAGAACGATTTGTTGTCTTTTGTATCTCAAAGAGAATTTTCGGTAAAAACCCAAGCACCATTGTGGGGGAAATTAACCTCTTTAGGAAAGTGTTTCACAGGCCTAAGACAAAGTATCAAGGTTTGAGACTCATGTGGTCATTGAAATTCTCATGTTCATGTTCGTTTGAAAGGCTTGGAAGTGAGGCAAGTTTGTAATCTTTCATATTAGTTAATTTCATTGTAATTTCTGTAATTCACTGATATAGTAGTGCTTGGTTTGAATACACTTGGTTGTATTGATTTGGTTATATAATTTTATTGTAATTATACACTGTTTTAGGTTTTGTTCCCACATAAGTTTGTATTTAACTTATACTAGAAAACCTAACAGATCATGACTAATGAGGAATGGATACATTGTTATAATGAATGAACGATGATGTATAGCTTAAAATGACCATTATATATATTAATTCTTCTGGTTAGCCTTTGGTCTCCAATTATTATGTTGATTGGATAATTGATTTTGTAGAATAGGAATACGTCCAACCCTTAATAAAATAATAGTATGGTGCTCCAATGAAGTACTTGTTAATTGTAGTATATTTTTTTAAACGGATTTTTCACCATATACCATTCGGTTTTAACTTAATTCATCATATACCACCAAAAACTTTCTAATACACCATAAACCACTGAGTTTAACATAAATGTCACAACATGCCATTTTCCTTAACTCCGTTAGTCATTCTTAGTTAATTAAGCCATGTGGCAACCTCTAATTGGCTATTATTTTAATTAATTAATTTTTAAAAAAAAACTTTTTACAAAACTTATTAAGAAAAGAAAAAAAAACCACCACCATCCCCACCACCTAGCCTTACTCATCGTCACCGACTCCACTGTTCTCCCCACCGTGCCGGCGTCGCACAACCTCCCTATCCTGCGCCGATGCCCGCGTTCCTCCACTAAACCACCATACCCAACTCAAATTCCCTCCCTTTCCGGGAACGAACAACAAGCCAACCAAAATACCTTTGCCGAAAACCAGCATGTCGAAACCCAACGTCGGCGCCCAGATCCCCCGCCCTCACGTTGTCGCCACCCAATTTAGCTGCATACAACCAACCCAAAACCCCAAAACCCAAAATCGAAATCCTAGATTTTGATTTTAGGGTTTTGGGGTGGTGAATTAAAGGGGGGAAAGGGCTAGAGTTGGAAGAGGGAGGGGTGACGTAGGTTCGCCGGCACGGGAAAGGGGTTTGGGCGCCGGCGGTTTGTGCGTTGGTGGTTGGGGAGTGAGAGTTTTTAAGGGAGGGAGAGGGTTTTAAGGTGGTGGGATAGTGGTGATGGCTGGCTGAGCGGATTTCGCGTCGGCTGGTCAGATTCCCTGCTGGCTGGCTGGTCGGCTTCCGCGCCGGCAGGCGTTGTCAGGTGGTGGCTGGCTGGGTGGACGTGGGTGGTTGTTTTTTTTTTCTTTTTTAATTTTTTGTTAATTAAATTCAACAATTTTAAAAAGGAACCAATTATATGTTGCCACGTGGCTTTATTAGCCATAATGACTAACGGTGTTAACGTCTGTTAGTCATTTATGGCATGTTGTGACATTTTCATAAAATTGAATGGTATATGGTGTATTAGAAAGTTTTTGGTGGTATATGGTGAATTAAGTTAAAACTCACTAGTATATAGTGAAAAATCTGTTTTTTAAATTAATCTTATTAAATTAGATCCTTGGAGAAATTAATAAGTACTGAATTATTGTAAATATAGGTTATGAGTCGTTCGATCCATGTAAGGCTACATTCAAAGGTTATGTCCGATTTCAAGTCGAGTATATATATTATAGTCGATCTAATTAGCTATTACTATAGCTTGACATGAGGACATATTATTTGATTTTTAGGTCGGGTTTATTTCAATCCAGGATGTGTAAGTTATTACGTACGTATTATGTATACCAATATTGACTATTATATTGCGACGATTAGGTTTTGTTAATTACCTGAAGGTTTTTGGCAACGGCGAAGTAATGAGGATCAACAGGAACCCAAAAGGCATGTTGTCTTTCCTCTGGAACTCCATCAACTGTGAAAATCTCTTCAGCTTGATACCAAAATCTGTTCAAGAGATTGTCAGCCTCAGTAACATTTGCTGTGTAATCAGCAAATCTCAAGTTGCCATATTCCCTCGAGTAATCTCCTGCTGCTTCTAGGGCTAATTCATCTTCTGGTCCATGTCCAAATCTCTACACCCATCAAAACATTTTTTTATAATTTAGATTATACGTAGTAATTTGTGATGACATTATCTTATAAACAAATTACATTATTCGTGCTTCATATAACAAAAGAGTCAAATTAAGCTAAGATCAACTATTTGCCTTGTAAAGGTTTCAAATTGACGTTAGTTTTTTTACTTTTTCACGTAGTTAAGAAAAAAATAAATGTTTCATACGTAAGTGTTAGAGATAGTATACATACTGAGTATTAGGAAAATATATCATACGTAAATGTTTACATATTGAGTATTAGGAAAATATATCATCAATCACCAAGGTATGTATTACAGGCGCAGGCTTTCACATGAAAATGATGATATGCAAAGTAATAAGTTTTTTTTTCCTACTTCATCATTTTGTTTGACATGGTCATACTCCAATCCGTAATATATAGTCTTTCTTAAGAAATTTCGTAGAAAATATTAAATACTTAACCTGCCAATTCAAAAGACCAAGGTGAGCCCAATATTGAGGAATAGCAACATCTCCAATATGAAGAGAAGGATCAGCATTTCCAGCTATTCCATAGTGTACAACTCCTTCCACTCTAAAAAAATTTAGCAACAATTGCGTTGTTGTAGCTGCATTTACCTGCAAAAATTTTCTTCCTTTTGACATATAGTTTTACTTTTCTCTTTGAAATTTAAGAAATAATTATTCAACTTTATTCTACGTACTTTATTTTATTTTATTTATTTATTTATTTATTTTTTATTTTTTATAAAAATCTAAAGATAGACAACTTTAATTTGTTACGTACCATGCCAAGTCCTGTCATGACCAAGATCACTTTCTTCTCAGCTATAGTTCCGAATCGAAATCTCCTACCTTAATTAAGAGTCCATCATATATAATATACGAAGTAACAGATTTAGAAAGAAAAATCGCGTAATATTAGTTATGTATGGTGTTTATATGAATTTAAATTTCATTATTAAAAAAAAAAATATATTAAAACAATGAGTACTATACGTGTAATGATTAATTAGCAACGGACTATTTTAATTAATTCTACGAATTGGAGTACGTATTTGAATAAATGTACCTGAAAAATCAATGATAAACTTGCTAGCAGAGAAGCTAGGAGATTGAAGAAGAGGGTTGAGCTCAAATAAGTTTGGTATTACAACACCAATATAAGGGCCATTTTTGTTGGCTACATTAATATGATGCATGATTTTTTTGGGTATTTCACCTTGTGCTCCATTTTGAGCATAAATCACAAGGAGGAAAAAAAGTTATAGTTGTTAGAGAACCCATTTTTTCTCTTACAAGATATTGATATGGAGGGTGTAAGTTTTAGGGTTCGAGAACACACATATATATAGAACTTTGCTAGGACATTTTGATTGAAGGTTGTATGTGGTTAACCTAAACATCGTACGGTCGTACCCATTGTTATTATTTTATAAGAAACAATCTTGTCCATTCATTTTTTTTAACTAGTTGAATATAAATATAAAATATAATGTAAATAAGTAAGTTGTTGGTTGATTTATACATAATAAATATATTGATAGTCAAAGTTGAAATTAAAAATAAAAATAAAATAAAATAAAAAAAGGTTCAAGTGTGTCAATAATTCTAGAACGGAGAGAGTATAAACAGAAGAGGGGTTGTTGGGTGATAAATTTTGAGTTGCCCTTTTTACCTGACCCTCACTTAAATTTAGATTGGAATCACTTATAAAAAAATTCTTCAAGATATATGTTTGAAAAAAAAAATGACTAACGACATCCCCAATCCTTTCCAAAATAAATAAAATAAATCTTCCACAATTTTATTTTTTTTTTTTTTAATTTACCAATGTTCACCTTTTTTGTAAACCTTGACAACAATCTTTAAAAACCTTTAATTGAAGGTTTTATGTAAAATGCCCTGGTTAATATATTTGATTAGACCAATGAAACTTTTAGTTTCACCATTTCTATGTTTTACAAGTAACATAATTGGTGTGACAGATTAGACTGTCATAATCTTCCATAAAAAGAAGTAATTAAAATCATTTCTCCTTTCCTATTACATTAACTACTTTATCTTACAATTCATTCGAGTGTTATTTCCATTACTTTGCCAGCCAACTTTTGAATCTTGTTTAGAGTCAAACCTTTTTTTTTTTTTTTTTTTTTTTTTGTACGTATCATTCATTTTCTATTTATTTTTTGAATTTTGTTTTTGCATCAATCTTTTTATTTTGAAATTCTCAATGATGGCCTTGTATTTGTGCTAACGGAGGCCGGAGGGTGAGGGTGAGGGTGAGGGTTTCAGGCTAGTTGAGGTGAGCTGGGTGGGTGTTTCAGGGCTGGTGGAAGTGGTGGTGGTGGGTGATGGTGGAGGTTGTGAGGAGAGGAGCATTAATGCATGACTTTTCCTATCTTTTACTAACCATGGCTTAATATTTAACCAAAATTAGCGTTATGAAGGTCATTTATGGGAATAAATTTTTATTAAAGTCATTTTGTATAATAAAAATAAAGGCTGCTATTTCAATGTAACATAAATACAGGTCACCATTGAGAATTTTATTTTATTTTTTAAATTTTGTTATTTACAATTAATTGAAAAGATAAATTTGATTCTTTATACAAGTACTTTGAATCCACAAAAAAAAAAAAAAAAAAAAAAAAAAAAAAAAAAAAAAAAGTTAGTTTGAATGCATTTCCATTTTGTAGATACAGTCAGCCCAAATATGTAAAATTGTTACAATTTCATGCTTGAAAGATCAATTTATACTCCGTATGAGCTTATATAAGTAATAAGTTTATCAAAAGTTGTGGTTTTGTCAACTCCTTGCGTCCTACCCTACTCTTGTACCGAGTATATATGATATGATTTTCTTTTTGAATATTCCGAAATAAAATCGATCTTATTTCAATTGTTGATTATTTTTCCTTTTAGGTATTCCATAATGGAATCAATCTTATCTCAATTGTCGATAGGGCTTACTTCCCTTGAGATTCATAGGCCGATCTTAAAGATAGGAGGACCTAATTCGCTAGGTCCCCAACAATTTTCTAGTTCTTAAACAACGAACCCATATTTTAATTGCCGACATACGTACGAGAAAAATGGAGTACAAAACTAAAGTCATTGTTCCCTCGAAAAAAAAAATATATATATATATATATATATATATATATATATATATATATATATATATTATATATATATATATATATATATATATATATATATATATATATATATATATATATATATATAAAATTAAAGTCATTGTTGTAATGGTAGAATCATTTTCTTTTGAGATTATTTAGGACCATCCCTTATTCCTTTGCATTATCACGGAGTTGTGAACATTAATTTTTCTGAAAATGAAGGTAATTGGCAATTCAGTGACACCTGACACTACTTTTCCTAGCAAGTACTTTTTGGCAATTTTGGTTAAAAAAAATAGATGATAAAAACCTATAGTTTTTCCTTTAAATAAATGAAGACTTCTTGGTACACATAGGACATAGCCCAGTTAACGCTATTATGACAATGGAGAAATATGCACAATAATTCTTGTGTATCAATTGAATATTAAGCCTAAAACTAAATAACATGAAAATTAATTTTTATGAACATAAGAGTTATAACTTAGGTGATGTTATATTCATTGAAGTTTATATTCTTTTGTTTTAGCCTTCATGCTCTTTGATTGTTTGCTTAATGTTCATCGGATGCACAGTGTGCCATTTGCACGTGTTTCTACCATTCAATTATTGTAAGACTTACTCGTATAACTTATATGACATGATAGTAAACCGATATTTTGTTTGTTAAATAGGGCTCAGCTCTTCTAGGTTTAGAATTTCGAATCCACCTCTGCTACTACTCAAAATCTCCAATCCCTTTAATTTTAATGTTGTTTTCAGTTATAATCGCTACACAAATCTTGTAATAGGTGTTAATAAGTCAACAAAAATGTTTGGTCAGCATGGTATTTGTTTAATAAAATCAACAAGCATGGACCCTTTGATAAACTTGGATTCTCTCTATCCTACAAGCTAAGGGTGCTTAAGAGAATGGGGAAAAAAAATCCTCTAACCAATAAGGTAAAATAGGGAAGATTTTTTTTCCAAGGGATTAATTTAAACAAAAGTTTTTTTTTTTTTTAAAAAAAAAAAAAAAAAAAAAAAAAAAAAAAAAAAAAAACTTTACAAAACAAATGGATTGGAGTAAATAATTTTGAATGCATTTCATTTGCATCAGTACATACGAGTTTGGCTAGAGTAATTTTTAATCCACATGTGTAAAAGTGTTGCACATATAATACGTAGTGACTCAATAATTCATTTATTTTTGGTGAAAAGTGACTCATTAATTTGATTAAACGAAACTTGGTTGATTAAAATGCTATAAATTCCAAAGTTGTGTGACTGTGTCCAATTTCCTCATTTGGTTCTCTTAATAAAACTATACACTACATTTTCCTAATTTGATAATTTCTGTGTGTTTGCTTACCCCTTCTATCCTAGGAATATACTCCGTACTATATTTGACTCATTGATCATATCAAAACTTGTTTTATTATTCAAACTCTTGACAAAAAAAGTTAATTGTTTACTTTTCTCTCTTAGAACGATTTCATGTTTTATAACTACTTCTGGAACGTAAGAACTCAAGGTCTCATGAACATACTTTCTTTAAGATCAAATTTAAATATCTACAGAGTTGGTTCGCCTATGAACCAATGAGAGAAAAAAGAAGGTAGATCGATTTCGCCCCCAAGTATCAATAACCAAATCAACTCCCTTCTTATGGCTCGATAAGGAAATCTATACTTCTTTTGTCTCAAATTATTTGCATTATGATATTTTTACTCAATTCACACACCTTACTTTAATTTCAAAATTAAAACTTTATACGATATATTGATGATTAAACTTGTACATTAACATGTATGTCCATTAAAGTGACGTGACTAACGTGAGTAATCTAAAAGTAGCGTTACCTTTTTTTTTTTTTTTTAATGTGGACGGTTAATCTTACATGCATAAACCTCTCATAGTCTCATGTTAAAATTGGTACAATTTAAAAGTGGTACTATTTCTAAAATTTATTGCCAACTATTTTTGTACCAAATATATAGATAATATTGCCAACAGACGTGAAAACTGAAAATGAAGTATGTATTAAGTTATTATTGTGATGTCAAATAATTGGGAGTAAAAGTTTAATACCATCGCTTGCATTATCACGGGGTAATGGACATCTTCGATTATGAGTATTTGTTTATTTTATGATTTTTATATGTGTCTGATTAGAATGTGGATGATTGATGATTAATTGATTATGATTTATTGTAGGACACTAGCAAATCATTGACCAATTATTGAGGCAATTGGATTACCTATTTAGTAAACCCTTTTTCTTAATAATTTTTTTAATTAACAAATGGCCATTGGCAACTATACTATATAAGATATAAGATGAGTATTGAAAGTTATAATATATTTTGTATTTTTATGTGTGTAAAATATTACATGTCTTTGGAAAACAAAAACATAATAACATTTGCTAACAATAACAACAATCAAAGTCTTAATCTCAAATACGGAGTCAGCTATATATCCTAAAATATCTACTCCGTATTCGAATTTCACTTGCTTGACACCATATGTGGCATGAATTATACTTAATGAATTTAAGTAGGTGACAATTTAAATTTAGATGAAGTTTCTTACAACATATGGTTACTATGGAAACTCAACAGATTGGCAACCTTACTTGTCTAATTAGCCCTACCAGTAAGGCAGTAATATATCAATAAGTTTATTGTGCACCCTGGTCCATCTAGAATAGCTGGACCATAAGCTCATTTACGCTATAAACTTCATTTCTCGCTGAAAACCTAGGCCAAACACTCCCACTTCCTTTCTTTCTTAATTTCGCTCCCAACAGACATTTTTTAAAAAAAAAATTGACAAAAAATTTAATTCTTTCATTTCCTCTTTCAATTGTTGAACTACACATTCTATCTCCTCTGCAAATTGACGAACCGACATGGAAGAAAAACAAGAAAATAGTGCATAAAGGTAAATTAAATTTGAACACTTAGTAAAAAAAATTTGGACACTTAACAAAAAATGAACATGTCACAAAAAATGAACATAAACATCCAATTTTATATGTTCATACTTTATAATGAAATGTTCATTTTATATGCAGTAAATGTTCAGTTTATATTACAAAACTATTGAATTATTACGAGTTAGACAAGCTTCTT